CAGAAGCAACTTGCAGAGTAAGCGTATGTAAACACTAAGGAACTCAAATTTCAAAAAGCAGCTGGCAATTTGGCATGCTTATCTGATCTTCAGTACAAGAGCAAGTTTTATCAGAAGCAACTCATGAATGAGCCAAAAAAACCTCACCTCTGGATACACAGGTCCACCAACAGATCTCAGCTCTGATCAAGCAAAACTCTTGCTTCCCGATAGTTGTAAATTATGTATTATGAATTGATGTTATATGGCATCCGTTACTGCCAGTCTACAGAAATAAAAGCAAACCTCTGGCAAAAGAAAGTGGTTCCCACAACAGCATCCTTTTCTTTAGCATCCCACAAGTACTGTCAAATCATCCTCCATGGTACCATATTCTAATTCTCACCTATTTGTACTGCTGACATAGAAGAGTTTCCCTGTCTTTTGCTCCTGTCTTGGGATGACATAATTTGTTTCTACCTGTGAGGGACATGGTCCACATAGGCTCTTACTAAAGGCCATCTAAACAAAATTATAAACTGGGATACTACACTCTTAAGGGATTAAGAAAGACAAAGAAAGCATGTAGAATGAAAGACAAGGAGTGGTAACATAAAAGGAAGAAACTGGAAGAATTTCTGAAAAATAGAAGTCCATTGCTCTCCCTCAAACTGCTCAGGAGATGTGGCATGCTGGCTACAAGCAAGATACAGACATTCATAGTGCTGTGACTCAAACTCATTCTGTTCATGGAGAGAAGAGGAAAAAGTCAGTGTCTTTCACCAGTACTAAATAAACCTCTTAGCATTCCTTATCCTCTCCCTTATACGTCCAAATGCAATACAAAAATCATATTCAAGACTGGACATAGCTGTGACATGAACTGGAAGAAAGGAGGGAAGGAAGCCCTACTTGGGATTTGTGTGACACTGAACATCACTGATAACTAGACAATAATCCCTGAAGACTCTCTCCATAAATCTACTCTCAAAGATAAAGGTTTGGTGAAGATGTTATTGGGCAAGATTCTTTAGTTTGTGTCATGTGACAAGGTAAACACAGATGGCTAATCCCTTCAGGGTTCTTTTTTTTATTGTTGTTTTTTTTTTACATCTACAAAACACCTGCAGCAGGGTAAGTATTCATGTCTCAAAGTGAGAGTAACTACCTTTAATATTTAATATGGATTGTAAAATACTCATTTTTCAATGATGTGGTCAAAATCAAATTAAGAATTACCTATATATCCATAAACTAGGATATATATTTTGTGTTTTCATACATTGTAAGTGGGTCTGAATATTTTTCATATACTTCATCTTAAAAGTAGCCTCTTCTAATAAGAAGTTGCTAAAACCTAAGACACTGGTTATTAGGAAGAATATTCCATTTGTCAGCACTCATTCTAGGCCTAGTCTTAAAGGACTTGGCAAAAGATCAGAATTTTAAAAGTACAAATAGAATTTTTATGATTTGCATCTACAGTTGTGGCAGAGATTTTTTTTTAAAAATACATCAGAAAATTAAGCTGGACATAAAAGTGGGTTGTTTTTTTTTTAAAAATCGATGTTTCATGTAAATAAACTCGATCAAGTCTGTCAGAAGTGCTTGCTAATGGGCAGTTATTTTCTTGTATTGCTGCTTACATTATAATCCCTGATTTCCTATTTCATACCAACTGATCTTAAAGCAATTTACAGTTGCCATAAGATGTGGTACAAATTAACCTTTGGTTTTGCCTCTGTTGTAAGTGAAAAATAGCTATACAAAATTAAAGTAACTGGTGCTTTTCTTATTTTACTGATGGCTTCTGTCAACTTAATACAACTACAATCTGCCAACAGGTTTACAAAGGTGGGTTATGAACAGCAGTGCACATAGTTTGCACAATGTTCACATGTAATCACTACTCATAAAACATTCAAACTATGTTCCTGGAGTAAAGTGAATCATAGAACTATTCAGGTTGGAAAAGACCCTTGGGATCACCGAGTCCAACCATCATCCCTACTCTACAAAGTTCTCCCCTAAACCAGATCCACCAACACCACATCCAAACAACCCTTAAACACATCCAGGGATGGTGACTCAATCACCTCCCTGGGCAGCCTATTCCAGAGTTTAACCACTCTTTCTGTGAAAAAAAATTTCCTCATGTCCAGTCTAAACCTCCCCTGTTGCAGCTTGAAGCCATTCCCTCTGGTTCTGTCACTAATTAAAAGAGACCAGCACCAACCTCTCTACAATGACCTTCAGGTAGTTGTAGAAACTGATGAGGTCTCCCCTCAGCCTTTCCTTTCTCAAACTAAACATTCCCAGCTCCTTCAAGCATTCTTCATAAGATTTATTTTCTAGGTCCTTCACCAGCTTCATTGCCCTCCTCTGTACTCGCTCCAGCACAACGAGATCTCTCTTGAACTGAGGTGCCCAAAACTGGACACAATACTCCAGGTGTGGCCTCACCAGTGCTGAGTACAGGGGGGACAAGTGCATATAGCACTTTTAGCACAGAGCTGGATTAAACACCTCCAGAGGTTCCTTCCTATCTGAATTATTTTAGTAACTCAACAATGTAACTGCAAAAATCCCAAGTAGTTTTACCTAACTGGAAGAGTTCTGATTCACAGTCCCAAAGAATCATCATAGAATGGTTTGGGTGGGAATGGACCTTAAAGATCATCTACACCAAATAACCCCTCCCCCACACTAAATCAGGTTGCTCAGAGCCCAATCCAACCTGACCTTGAACACTTCCAAGGAGGGGGCAGCCACAGCTTCCTTGGGCAACCTGTGCCAGTGTCTCACCACCAATCCGCTGAAGAATTTCTTCCTAATGTCTTACCTAAATCTACCTTCTTCCATCACCCCTTGTCAACTTGCTACAGGCCCTCCTAAGAAGCCCCTCCCCAGCCTTCCTGTAGCCCCTTCAGGTACTGGAAGGCTGCTATGACATCTCCCCAGAGCCTTCTCTTCTCCAGGCTGAACAGCCCCACCTCTCTCAGCCTGTCTTCATAGCAGAGGTGCTCCAGCCCTCTGATCACCTTCATGGCCCTCCTCTGGACTCGCTCCAACAGCTCCATGCCCTTCTTATGTTGGGGGCTCCAGAACTGGACACAGTACTCGAGGCAGGGTCTCACAAGAGCTGACTAAACGGGAAGAATCACCTCCCTTGACCAGCTGGCCACACATCTATTGATGCAGCCCAGGACACAGTTGGCTTTCTGGGCTGCAAAGTGCACATTGCCAGCTTATGCTGAGCTTCTCATGAAAGTCTGATGGTTTACCCATCGTGCCAAAAGTTTTATCATGCAAGTCCTGCTTTGTATCCAGTTTCTAAAGGAAATCTGTCAACATTACACAAGCAAGCTTACCACCCACCCCACATGAAACCTGTGGATAGCAGAATGCTCAGGTAGGCTCTTCAGATATTTAGGACTCCTGAATTAAAAATTCCTAATGGGAATTACCATGGGAACTAGAACTGTTTAAGGAACTTACATGAGACTAAAAACAAAAATTTAATATTTAGGAGTCTTTAATTAGACCCCTCTTTATTACATACATATAATTTTTATATTGCTCCCTCTCAAACTCTTCTCCAGTACCTTTTCACAGGACACAAGCAACCACTGTAGAGACACTGGAAGATCTAGAATCTTCCTAGAGGGAGGTGGTAACTTCAAACTCTTATGCATGTTATAAGTTTAAAAAAAAAAAAACACATTTAAAAAAATCAGTATTATAGGCCATGATGAAGTCTTAAAGTAATTTTAGTCACCCAGACCTACCTGAATCTCCACATTAAATCTCAACATCGCCGATGCAACCCCAGGCTGTAAAGTGCTTTACAACACATTGAAAAAAGCCAAGTGCAGGAGCCAGATATTATAAACACCAGGAAAAGACACAGGAATCAGCCCCAGCAGCACACTCCGAGAGCAAGTGCTGCTGCAGGGCTGTTTAACTCCTGCCCTGCCACAGCGACACATGGCAGGGGCGACAGGAGAGCCCGGTGAGCACACGGGTGATGCTCTGCAGCTACCGCAGGCATCTCTCCGGAGCTTCAAGGGATCTGCTACGGACCTACTGCTTAAGGCCTTTCAGAACTCACCTCGGTACCGACAACCAACACACACCGCGCACCAGAGAAACTCGGCTCGGAAGCAAACACAGGTTAGAAGACAAACGGAGGCAGGAGGCAGCTGAACTCGCACCGAGCGGGTTTCTCCCTCTTCCTCCCCCTCCCCGCTTTTCAAAACTGGCTTGAAGTATTTTTATTTTTCTTTGTGGCGGGGGTTCCTGCTGTTCCTTAACTCCCGATACCCGCGCTCGCCGCCTGACCCCACGCCCACGGGTGTGCGGGACCGGCGGTGGGACCCCCCGGCTGCGGGGATTGTGGCACCGCCGGCACAGGGGGTAAAAACGAACGGAAGAGGAAAACCGGCAGAAGTAAATTCAAATCGGAGAAGGGAAAGGACGCTGGAGGGAGGGGGGAAGCGGAAAAAAAAACAAACCCAAAACACCTCAAAGGAAGCAGGAGGGCGGGGGAGAAGGGGGACCGGCCGGCCCTTAATTAGACCCCTCTTTATTACATACATATAATTTTTATATTGCTCCCTCTCAAACTCTTCTCCAGTACCTTTTCACAGGACACAAGCAACCACTGTAGAGACACTGGAAGATCTAGAATCTTCCTAGAGGGAGGTGGTAACTTCAAACTCTTATGCATGTTATAAGTTTAAAAAAAAAAAAACACATTTAAAAAAATCAGTATTATAGGCCATGATGAAGTCTTAAAGTAATTTTAGTCACCCAGACCTACCTGAATCTCCACATTAAATCTCAACATCGCCGATGCAACCCCAGGCTGTAAAGTGCTTTACAACACATTGAAAAAAGCCAAGTGCAGGAGCCAGATATTATAAACACCAGGAAAAGACACAGGAATCAGCCCCAGCAGCACACTCCGAGAGCAAGTGCTGCTGCAGGGCTGTTTAACTCCTGCCCTGCCACAGCGACACATGGCAGGGGCGACAGGAGAGCCCGGTGAGCACACGGGTGATGCTCTGCAGCTACCGCAGGCATCTCTCCGGAGCTTCAAGGGATCTGCTACGGACCTACTGCTTAAGGCCTTTCAGAACTCACCTCGGTACCGACAACCAACACACACCGCGCACCAGAGAAACTCGGCTCGGAAGCAAACACAGGTTAGAAGACAAACGGAGGCAGGAGGCAGCTGAACTCGCACCGAGCGGGTTTCTCCCTCTTCCTCCCCCTCCCCGCTTTTCAAAACTGGCTTGAAGTATTTTTATTTTTCTTTGTGGCGGGGGTTCCTGCTGTTCCTTAACTCCCGATACCCGCGCTCGCCGCCTGACCCCACGCCCACGGGTGTGCGGGACCGGCGGTGGGACCCC